AATGTCTTTGCTCGTGCCCTTCTCCGTTCACATTCCCCCTTTCACATTTCATCACTTCCTTTTTTAAGTGCCCTAATCCATTCTCACCCAGCCATTATTAGAAGATACATTTCCTGTCTCTAACAATACCGGAAAAATAGAAGCTATCAAGTCTGGACTATCTGAACACATTATACTCCAACACACTCCCATTCCTAGCCCCAGGAAGCCACTACTTTGCTTTGTCGCCATAGGTTTGCCCCTTCTGGAGCTTCCACATAAATGGAGTAATACCATATATAGTTGTTTTGTGTTTAGCTTTTTTTTTAACTAAACATAGTGCTTTTGAGGCTCATCCATATTGTAGTGCACTTCAAAAGAAGTCTTTTTCTAAAACACTGAATGGTATTCCATTGTACATTTTGTTCATTCTCCAGCTGGTGGCATTAGAGTTATTTCTCCTCTTGTAACATGCCCTGCTTTATGTGCAGGCATACACCTAGCCCTGCTGTGCTGTCCCAAGAATGTGAAGGACACAATGGGATATTATTCAGGCATAAAGAAGAATGAAATTATGTCATCTGCAGGAAAATGGGCAGAACTGGAAATCATCATATTAAGTGAAATGAGCCAGAGTGAGGAAGACAAGTAGTATATGTCCTCTCTCATATGAGAAATCTAGACCTTAAAAAAATCCAAAAACACTGACATCAGTATAAAATGGGGGGAGTGCTGTTTTGGAGTGGGAACTTATGGGAAGGCAGAGGGCAAAAGAAGGGAATAATGGGGGTGTGAATATGATCAAAGTACTTCATATGCATGAATGAAAACAATGACAAAATCCATTAAAAGTTGCTTAATAAAGGAGGCAAGGGGGTAAGAAACGGTAATGGAGGGGGTAAATTTGATCAAAGTTCATTATATGCCTGGATGAAAAAAATCACAATGAAACCCCTTCTACAATTAATATACACTGATACAAAAAGAAAAAAAAGGGAAGGGGCACTGTGACCCAAACTTGCTGATACCATTAGTATTTATTGGGCTGTGAGAACTAAAGTCCTTTGTTTCTGACCCAGGAGGCTCAGATCTTCTCTGCCAGCATTCGTAAAAGAGTTACAGACTAATTTACTAGTTTATAACTAAGGTAGAATTATATTGCAGTCCTATCAGTGATTCTTCCAACTTTGCTTTGACTTATCTAGGTTCTTTGATTTTTCTGCATCTTGTTGCTTTCTTTCTGCTTTTGAGAAAGAGAACATTTTCCCATCCTAAACAAATCCCTTTGACTATAGATCTCATTCCTTTGTGTGTTCTCAAAGATGTTCCAAGTATAAGTCTTCTCAGCTATGCCTCTCTTGCTTCTTATGGGTTCCTTCCCACTAGAAAATGACTATGCTCCCAGAGTTACAGCTTAAAACAGTAAGTCTCTACTTATCTCATGCCTCCTTCAACAGCCTAACATCTGTTCTTTCTTTCATGGCCAAGCTTCTAGAAAAAGTAGCCTATACATCCAGTCTGAATCAAAGTATATGTTTTCTTCACGTAAAGCCAGATAAAACCTTATAAAAAGATATATTTAAAATATCTAGGTTGAAAAACTTATATACATATGAATCTTCAAAGATTGGGAAAATAGGGGAGAGAGGGAGGGGGTGGAGTGGGTGGTAAGGGAGGGGGTGGGGCAGGGGGGAGAAATGACCCAAGCCTTGTATGCACATATGAATAATAAAACAATAAAAAAAAGATTGGGAAAATACTCTTGATTTAATCAGAAGACTAAAGATACTGCTAAATTAAGTTTGATAAAATACAATCATTTTCTGAAAAAAAAAAACCTTGAAAATTTACTTTTAAAGGAAAGAACTTCAAACTTTGTCCACTTAAAAAGTTTGGAGAAAATGACGTTGAGGTCTTAAAGGGTGTTAAGATTGAGAAGGATTGAAAGAAACTTTGGGAGACTTTTCTCCCCATGATGACATAATTATGTAGGTTTATGTATACCTATATATATCTATGATTTTTCCTGGACACAGAAAGCACCGATTTGATTCCAAAATCGCTAATCATTTAGATTCTACAAGAAACAGTACAGTCTACTTGGATTTTTAATATGATCAATTTTTTTATCAGCATCAGAGAATAGATCTTTTGCTAATAAAATGGATCTAGCTTGACTATCATGGAGTAACATGGTTATCTCTCCATCAATTGATCTATTAGTTTATTCATTAGGTAATATTAGAGCCATTCTTAGACCAGAAATGAATTCTTCTCATCACAATTAAATAAATTTGAGTTTGACATACGTACACAAAAAAAAAGAGACCATATTATGATTTTTTTTTAACTCTCAAGGGAAAAAATAATACATTGGATAATTATGCAGGGGTATATTTTCAGCTTGATACAATTTAAAGATAACTACAGGGTTAAGTAGCTATAGAAGCCGAGTTCATCTCAGCTACATCAATGATGTGAACAACAGTATTCAGGAAAAAAATGCCTATCTTCTAAAGCTACTAACAGTACCTACAGTGTTGAGTGCATTACTGGCTATTTGCCATTTTTCAAATGTCTTCTTTAAATCTAGCTCTTTTTGCTTGTTTGTTTTGCTTTTGGTTTTTTGAGACAGGGTCTTGCTATGTAACTAAGGCTGGCCAGGAATTCACTATGAAGCCCGGCCGGCCTTGAACTCGAGATCCTCCTACCTTAATCTCCTGAGTATTTAAATTACAGGTGTGCATCTGGCTTCTGTAAATCTGAAAATTTCACTCATTTATTTGTGCAAATGAAATTTATTAATAGCATTTAATTTTTTTTTCTAGTGATGAATTAAATTCTAACCCCCATTTTTTTGTGGAAGAAAACTTGGGACAAAGGGGAGACTCTTGATTCCAAATTAATCCAAATAAATACAGTCAGTTAGGTAAATAGTAAATGCTATTGATAGATATATATAGCTTCAGTACAGCAGTCCTATCTGCAATTATTTACAATTAAAGAACATGAGATTTCTTTTTAATAAACCACAATTAGTAGAGAAATATGGAAGGTCTTAGAGAGTTCTCATGTTTCCACTAACTGTACATTGTTAATGCACCTAGATAAGGAATGTGTCATGAAAAAAAGTTAGCTTAAGAGGGTGTTGAAAAACATGAAAATAGTCATACTGTTACCAGTTTTAAATTCTACCTGTTATAAGGAAGTTTCAACACACATATAAACAAAATTAATCATCTGTTAAAGACCCTCATGTACTTCCAACCTAACTGGGCCATTTTGGTTCTTCTCATCTAAAGATTCAGATCTTTATTGGGTAAGGTTAAGAGACAGAACATTTAAAAAACAATATGAAAAGCTTCACTTTGGGAAGCTTTTGAGGCAGAAAAAATCAACTGGGTGGATGGAGTAAGGGTGGGAAGGAGACATCTTTGGGCTGCTATAACTATTGTTAATTGGATGGTTTTTAAACAACAGGCATTTGTTTCCCACAGTTTTGGAGGTTAGGAAGTCCAGGGTCCAGGCACCCGCAGGTTCAGTCTGTTAAAAGCTAGTTTTATTATAGACACAGACTTTTCACTGTTTTCTCACGTAAAGGAAGGGGTGAGGGATCTCTCTTGGACCTCTTTTATAAGGACACTAAACACGTTCATAGGGCATTGCTTTTATAATCGATGCACCTCCCAAAGGCCTCATCTCCAAATGCCATTGTTTTAGGAGTCAGGGTTTCAATGCATGAATTTGGGGCAACACAACATTCATACCATAGTAGGAGGGGGGGCGTGTTCCTCTCTCAGCACAATCAAAACCAGTCCTTTTTAGATAGCTTTCTCCTTTAGAGTCCACTCTTTGTAACATTAGCTCATTCATTCACTCATTCCATAAATATTTATGGACTATTTACTATGATCCAGACCCTCAGTTTCTCTTCTGTCTCCTCCTTAAACCACAGCCCAATTCTCTTCTTCCCCATTTTTTAACCATACCTTGGATTAGCTTCCTACCATTTATAATATATACCTTAGTCTCTTTATCTTTTTCCAATTCCATTCTTTGTTGTCTACCCTGATGAGTTCATTAAAAGTTTCACAAGGTTTTTCCTGAGTAGGTGGAGAAGGTGGAAAACTGTGGAAACTTAAAACGTATTTGCCTCATAATTGCCCTGCCAGGTTTCCCTCCCATTTTCAGACCTCTGCTTTGAGTGATGAACTATGAACAGACATTCAAAATTGGCAGTAACTGGCAAAAATGGAACATATTTTGCCCAGGAATATGGGACTCATTACATAGACTATTAAAGAAAATAGGTTTAAAAATAATCATTTGAAGAGTATTGACTTTTATGAGCTTTGGGATCATAATAGAGAACACTATTATAGTATATGTTTAATTTCCTATGATTTTTCCTCCAGTATTTTCTCACAAAATATTCTTATAAATTGCTGGGCCCGTGGTTCACACCTGTAATCCTAGCTACTTGAGAGGCTGAGATTGGGAGGATCTTGGTTTGAGGCCAGCCAGGGCAAATGGTTCATAAGACCCCATCTCCAAAATAACCAGAACAAAATGGACTAGAGGTGTGACTCAAGAAGCAGAGTACCTACTTTGCAAGCATGAAGCCCTGAGTTCAAACCCCAATCCTTGCCCCCCCACACAAATTCTCATAAATCTTGCTATTTAATTAAAATTTAATACGATTTTAGAAATTTTATTTTTTATTGGGGAGATAAATGTTTGGGAAGGCAAGTAGACATTATATAGTGTTTCTTTCTCTTTTCATTTACCAAGCATCTCAAATTTTCAGCTACATATATCTTATCAAATATCATCCACATTCCTTCAACATTCTTAAGACTTATTTTAGGAAAATGTATCAACTAGCATGATCTTTTATTATGAAAAATTTCCCTTAGATTAAGGAGAAATTAAGGAGAATCTAAGAAGAAATTTCCCTTAGATTATTTTTTTGATGGCCAAAAGCAAAGATGGCAGTGGTTAGATTTCCAGATCCAACTCACCTGTCAAACAGTTCTCCTCCTGTGACGAGTTCTAGGACCAAACTGATTTCTGTAGGGGTTTCAAATATTTCTTTAAGTTTTATCTGGGGAAAGATACATATAAAAAAGAGTATAACAAATTCTTTATTTACATCTATTTTTAAAAATGTCTAAAATCATGATTAAAACAATACTCTCTGCAATAGTAATGTATTAGATCCTTTAGTATCATGAAGATAATTGCCATATTTTTTTGTTGATTTTGTCAGTTACCTCAAATTTTTCAAAGGTCCTATTGAATTTTGACATTTTTCTGATAGTTGAAAAGTACCAGCCTTAGAAACAATACCTAAATAACTAAATATTCCAAATTTCTTAATTTCTTTAGAATCAAAAAAACCTCAAACTTCCTAAACTATTCGAAAGCACCAGGGTTGATTATAGATGAAAAATGCTTCTTTCTCTTGGAAATAGGGCACCTGTAATTAGGAGTCTGAAGCAGGACTGGATCAGGTTAAAGTCTGTATGTAAAGGATAGCTTCAGCAGATAAGATGCTGCAGGTTTGTGAAGGGGTCGTTGGGAAAAATAGTGATGGCAAACATTTGATTGACCACACCAGAGATTTCATCACATTCAGATAATCTAACCGATTTGGGGTATTTTCTCCTATACATTTGAGAATCTAGAGATTATGATTGATCTACATTTGAGAAAAAAAATTCACATTGACTTCTCTTTAGAATGGAAAGACATGGTTAATGTAATCATAGTGATTGAGTATGACATTTTGTTAATCACTTATCTAAAGCCCTTTCCCCTACTTCATTTTGTTCAGGGAAGCAAGGTGCCTAGCCCCACACTGAGGATCACAATGTCTAAGTTATTTATGACAACTCTATTCTCCAAACTACTAGCCTCCATGAAATTAAGGGAGATGCTGTTGCCAATTTTAGTCAATAAAATTTGAAGAGAATTCTGCTGCAGCAGTTTCTGAGAAAATGTTTCTAATCTGACTTTGCTACTGAGGCCCTATCAACTTCTTCCTTGAATCTAGACCTGAGGATTTGTGAAAACTGTGGAGCTGCCAATGAAGGAAAGACACGAGGGTGACATCAATGCACTAAGAATGGCAAGACCAAGGATGGGTGTCTGGATCCAGGATGTGTCACCGAGGAGCTGAACCAGTGCTAGAAACTGCCTGCTTTATGATTCTGAATAAGAAAAAAGAAAAAAAAAATACTTGCTGGTTTACAGCTAAGTGCATCCTTAATTAATACATTAAGTTTTAAGTGCTTTTCCTTCAGCCTAAGCATTTCAGGTCATCCCCTCAGAGATCACAATTTTCTCAGAGACATGGACAAAATATTTTGTTAAGATGGCTTAATTCATAAAAATAAGTTATGGCTGAAAATATGATTTTGTTCTTTTTCACTTCATTGGTTCAAAAAAGCTTTTCACTAAACATTTTCCTCAGAGGCATTTTCTGGTCATAGCTTAAGGCAGAATTTCTGAAGACATTTTATATTCCCTATTAAAATACATCATTTATTTGCCTCTTCACATTGTTTCTGAAGCAGACACTCTCAAAGAACAGTGAACTGACTTCAGAAAGCAATGCATTTTCTTCACAGGCATTTTGGAAATGGTATATTAATAAGATAGTCACACAAAAGAGGGAGAAAGCCAGTGTTTTATTAAAGCAAAACAAAACTCTCCAACTTTATCTTTTTATGCATGAAAAGAGACATAATATATTGTGCTAATCCATCCATTTTGAAACTGACTGAATACATTTGTAAGATTTATTCAGCCAAAGAAATGAAAATGTAGTGAGATGAGGGCAGGAACTGGGCCACTGTGGCTCCCAGAATGGATGAATCCCCTTCTTGTTATCAACACGAACAGTGAAGGACAAGAACCCCATTGTGAAGTTTTGGAAATTATTTGAAATAGTAGGTTGAAAACCACTTACAATATTTGGATGTGAGAGGCGAAGAAGAACTCCTATCTCAGTTCTTACGATTTTTTTGTCCACCTAAAAGGTAAAATAAAAGAGATAAACTGAAAGAAATTCCCCCCTTAGAAACATCTTCACTGAAACAGAGATCAGAAACAGCCTTAGCTACCTAGGAGAATCAGACAATTAAGTGTGGCTAATTCCTAATTTTTTCTTTTCTTTTTTGAAACAAGATCTCGCTATGTATCCCAGGCTGGACTCCAATGTGTAATCCTCTTGCCTCAGTTCCCAAGTGCTGGCATTAAAAGCATATGCTAACATGCTCAACTCTGAGATTGTTTCTTGTGTTTTCTTCCTCCTTTCTTAGTCAGCTGTATGTCCTCTATGCTTCAGAGATGAAGTAGAGCAAGTAACTAATAGGGGTCACAAGTCATCAGACCTTCCCATGGCATCTTCCTCCCTTTCCTACAAAAATCACCATCATCAGTCTTATCACTTAGCACAACAAGTTCATCTCAATGTACCCCTCACCCTTCTCTTCTTTTCGTTTATGGAGGTCTCTGTCTCAATCCCAATGGAGCTATCAATTACTCCACCTACCTTCTGCATTCAGAGGTACTACATAACCCAACCTAACAAATCAAGAGTATCTGATTTCCTGGTTACAGCAATAGCATCAAGGATATTTAGGAGACCTAAGAGTCTCCTAGAAGATCTTCTCTAAAAACTGTGCTCAAATAATCAAGAAAGAGGTATTCTCTTTCTCTCTGAAATTCTGAGAGTAAAATAAGGTAAGCTCTGCTGTTAACAGTGACCATTTTTTAAATAACATATGGCAACCACCTCACTGAAAATGAAGCCAATACAGAAAAATAATTACTGAGATATGAAGAAAGAGTACTGTTGATATCATTTCTTCCCTGCATTCAAGTATAAATAAACTAGCTTTTCCTTTGAACTTTCTAATTATATGAGCTATTAAATTTCCTTTTTCTGCATGTTATTCAGAGTTCCCCTCTATTGCTGGTCATTAAAGAACACTAGTTGGTTTACCACTTGATCTCTTTTTGAGGGACAAAGGTCAATTTAACTTACCACCTTCAAAATTAGGGATGCTCTCCCTTTCTAGGTTTATAATGGACTCTTTTAACCACAGTGAATTGTAGTTCCAGATCTCTAAAAGCCATATAGACAGAAAAGACTGAGTGTACTCTTCTTCAGACAAAATTCATCCATGTAATATACAGATGATACCTGCCATCTTACTGTGGTTTCTGCCATATAAGCAATCAAGAACTGTTGGACTGTGAGAATTCATATGGTTCTAGAACACAATATGAAGAGGTTTATGTGCAATTGACAAACTGTGGGCATACACAAGAGGGTGCTTTAAAAGAACAATGGGTTCTACCCTCTGAGTTACTTCTCCTGAGGAAGAAAGAATGGGCTTGAGGAGAAAATCAAGCCACTTCAGTGGTGATAACCAACCATGAATTTTAAGATGATGAACAATAACACCCCTTCATTTAATGTGTATTTGCTAACGGTAATGGTGAGTGAACACAAATGTAACCAACAAGGATGCATTCTTGGAAAATAAAGAAGGAATGCTCAAAGGAATTTTATAAACTTACATTTTCTTTTCTTTGGTTATAGCATATAAATATACCATATTTATATTTTGCCAGCAAATAAATTTTGTCAGACCCTAGATGACATTAAGGAGATCAATCACCATTTATAAATGTTTATAGTATTTATGAGAAGAAAAATGTTCATAAGGAAATGTGAAATAACTCCCATCCAAGTCAGAGATTTTTTTCCAGTCTATTTCACTATTGTACATAATAAAATGCTAATAGCAATATCATCATGGTAAAATCTCTTAAACTATTAAAATGTTTTGGTCATTCTTGCAGTCAGTTACGATGCTCAGTGTGCTTTAATATATTTTTGTCAAAGAAAATTAAGAGTGTTAAAATTTATTCACAATACTACAAAACAAAACATATTCCACATATATACTATTTATATGTCAATGTAACCATCATATTTCTTAAAATATGAATGAATATCCCACATAAAATGTAGCATTAGCTATAAATTCTGACTAAAAAGAGAGAAGGAAGTTATAATCTCTCCATTTTCATACCTGACAGCTAATATGGGCGGGGCAGATTCACTGTGAAGAGAAAAACAAGTTGGTAAGAAATATCCTAACTCAAATGAGTACATCACATTGAGAGGCTCTGGGAATTTCATGGTGAAGGAATAATGGAAGCATTCATCTTGATAAGGTGCTATATGACTCAGAAGCTGCTCAACTAGTCTTCCCAGACACTAATGTGTCACCCTTCACATGATTCAAATAGATTATGTATTTATCAAAACTTTTTCAGTTACAAGTAACCAATACCTAGCTCAAACTCACTTAGCCCCAAAGGCAATGTATCTGCACATGTAACTGGGAAACTGAAATATGTCTATTCAAAGATACAGCTGAACCCAGAGGTTTAAACTCAAGCAATGTATCTCCGCCTTATTTGTGTCTGTCTCTCCTTTTCTTTTTTCCAAATGTCAGGAAATATGGCCACAGAAGTTACAAGTCTGTATTCCTCAGCCTCACATCTATACACTCACTCAACTGTATGTGCTAATCTCTAGTAGTGTTCTCATTGGCCTTGTCTATTTTTGATGCCTTTTGCTAGCTAGCTGATATGTAACTATGACAAGACCAAGCATGATCATGGGCCCTCTCCTTTGACTCAAGTTGAGAGAAAATAGGGGTCTCGGCTCTCCCGAAATATGGCTATTGGCTGACAATGATGACTCTTTGGCTGATTAATTTTAATATTCATTCTCTCCCTTTTACATTTGCATAAGATTCTAAAGTATTACTATTTCTGTTTTTCTTCCATGTCCCTGACTAATATTAAATCATTCTTATTAATTTAGAACAGTGTTGCTAGCAGTAGGTTTAATATTCAAATTTTGACTATGTAGCAGTAACACAAAACAGGGTCATCAGGTCCTTTTGAATCAGTATTGGAAAACTGATGTAAAACAATGGCTTAGCTGGTGAATAACCCTAGCAGACTATCGTAGCATCTGTGCCTCAAATCTACTATGTCAGTCTCTACTTCTAGGCTGTCACTTTGCAGTTGTTTTGATGTTACCAGTGGGATAAGTTGAAGGGAAGTGAAGCAGCCAGGAAAATGATGGCCTTAGTCACTATTAAAAGTTGGAGTCAAAATTTGGACAAAGCAGTTCTTGAAGTCTATGTGATTTGTGGGACAGAAGAGGATCTGTAGTTTTCATCATGGTCTCAAAACTTCCAAGGCAGGAAAAACATAAAAATCAAATCTACTTAAAAACAAAAAATGGAGATGCAAATACTTCTGAACTTATTGTTTAATGCATGTGTAATGAGTACATTGCATATAGATCTTATATGCTCGGCTCCTTATTATACAATGTGAGACATATGAAAACCAAATAAGGTCTTTCCCAAAGATTATAATCTAATTTAGGGGATAAGACTTATCTGCATAATTCCACCTGAAGATAGTTAAAGTGTAAAGGAAGAATTTATTTTGTTATAAAACCTCCCTTATTCTGTGGAAGATCACTGTGTATGAATTGAAATACTGCCATTATTTAAACAGTGGGATTATTCTAAAAGATTTTGGACATTACCAGCCACTTAAAATCACAGTATTGCTAATATAAAATGAGGAATGATTTATTAGACTTTATCCCTGGTACATAGACAGTGTGATACGTGGTCAGTGACGACCAGTCACTTATGTCAGGAAGCTCACTCACTGGGATTTAGACAGCGTGGTTCAGGAGGGATGAAAGCAATAGAATGAGACTGTGAAAGTTACTTGATTTACTGAAAAAATTATAATCTTCATGAAAATTTTCCATTGAGCAAGAAATACTGCACTTGTAGAGAATCATGGCCAGAATGCGCAGACATCTTTGGCAGTCTTCTTCAGTCCTCTTGCCTCACCTTCTATTTCACTTTCTGAGATGCTGTTAAAGATAATTCTGATACAGATTGTTATCTTTTAAAAAATTTGTTAAGCATATTTAAGGTGTACAATATGCTATAACAATAATAAAAGTTACTATAGTGAAGCAAATTTACATCCTTCCTCTCAAATTGTTACCCTTCTTTTTTTGTTTTTGGCGGTAGTAGGGTTTGAACTTAGGGCCTCACACTTGTTAGTCAGGTGTGTTGGCAATAATGGCACCAATAGGTTTTGGTTCTTACTGCACCCTTAAGCTTCTGTTTCCGAGGGTCACAGTCCTGCCTCAAGTCTAGCTTGAATTCTCCTTCTGCCCAAACCTCCAATTGGCATGAACCATAAGATCCTAACCAATCAGATCATGCCAAGTCTCACTGAGGGTATTAAAGCATCTGCCCCTCTCTCTCCCTCTCTCTCCCCTCTCTCCCTCTCTCTCTCTCTCTCTCTCTTTCGACTCTCTCCTTCTCCCACCCAGCAATAAAGAATCTCTTCGCCAGATCACTCCTCTCCATGTGGTCACTTTGGGGCCTACATTTGGTGCCAAGACTCGGATTGGGTCTCCCCACTAATCCTGGTGGGACACCGATTCTGACTCACCCCATGACCACCCTGAGGACGTGACTAGCCAGGAGTCATCCTCCCAATTACCGTCACTCACATCCAACACCAGACATTCTTTGGTGAGTCCACATACCCTTTTTGGGCTCTCACTTTGGTGTCTCTGGGGTTTAGAGCATTTCCCCTGTTTGGCTATCTCTGGGGCTCAGACAGTAGAGAGGGGTTCCCTTTCTTTGGCTTGGGTCTATTATGTCGTGGGTCTCAGAGACCGCGCGTCGAAAAGGCCGGCACCAGGTGACCCACAGCCTCTGGGCTCCAGGGGCCCTACAAGCCACTTGAATGCGCTGACGACAGCTTCTTGTGTGCCTGTACCATTCTCAGGATATTCGAGCTGCATGGGGATACCACATGATACCATATATCCTTCTAACTGGCTCCCACCATGGGGCCACCTCCTCTTTGCCATCTGATTCCCCACTGAGATGC